AGTCAACCAACCAACCAAGCATTCAACTAACGGGCGACATTCTCTATGAGAGCTATGTCATAGAGCACTAATGCACAAAATAGTACGATAGCGGTGATTGCCAAACACGTTTTCTCTTTGTCTCTCTTTGCGTCAGTCATTTTTGTTGATGATCTCTCAGTTACGAGAGACTCTGTCATAGAGATATACAAAATAAGGAAAGAGAGAGAGAGAGAGTTTGTGTGGTAGAGTAGGGACATGACATTACTGCAGAGTTGAACAGAACTAAATTAAGAGTAATTGCGTGAGAGCGTAACTGAGAGATCATCAACAAAAATGACTGACGCAAAGAGAGACAAAGAGAAAACGTGTTTGGCAATCACCGCTATCGTACTATTTTGTGCATTAGTGCATTACTGGCTTATGTTTATAAGAGTTATGTTTTGTTGTTTTTCTTCTTCTTCATCTAAATGTGTTTCCTATGAGAACAAATGTGGCCAATAGCGGTAGACAGACAGACAAACTGCCACACAGGTTACAGTAATGAATAAAAAACCAACAGCAACAACAACATTATCATCCAAGTGTCAGCTAAAGAAATGGAACAAACACACGCACACGTAAATACTCAGCAGCAGCAGCAGCAGCAAAGGAAAATGACCCCTATTCGCCTACAGAGAAGAGTTATTTGTACATTAGTATCAGTTCACTGAGTTCAGTAGTAGTAATGCAATCAATCTGAAGAGAAAACTAACGCGGGAGACAAACGGAAAAAGGAAAATAAAATAATAATAATAAAAAAACGGAACGCAACAAAACTCAAGTGTTTAATACAAAGAAAATAAAAAAATAATTTAATGAAATGTAAGAAATAAAAATTGTTGTGTGTAAAACAAAAGTTATCCATCAACAAAAGCAGTGTTGCTGCTGCTGTGCAAGTAGTCCAGAAACCGGAAAGCTCTGGGAAAGACATTTCTTGCTGGCAATTACCGGATTTCATTAACCAATGAAGTTTGGTGCAACATTATTGTTGTTGTTTTTGTTGGTGCAAATGTTGTAAATTTAACCGGAATCTAAGCCAACGCATGGAATATTGAGTGTTTGTGAATTTTTGTGCACAGTGGTTTTAGAAAATTTTAGGTGACAAATGAAAATGTCGGCAATTTAAAAAAAATGTAATTAGAAAGTATCTGAAAAAAATGTTGAAAGTATAAAATACCTAATTGAGATAATTAAAAATTGAGCGAATTTAAATAAGTGATTTATAAATATACAAAACTTGGCATACACAATGAAGGAATTTGTTGGGCCCCAGCGACCGGATACGACATATGCTAAGAAACGCGAATATAATTTTGATGAAGTTTGATACTAATAAAACAACTCGAAACCGGAAATAAAATAATTAAAAAACTACACAAAGAAAAAAACCAAGGGCTATAATGGAGGATTTAAAAAAAATAATTTTTTTTTACAATCACAGATTCTATAACAAAAATATTTTGTCAAAACAAAACCAGAAAAGCCTAGCGTGGATTTAAAACAAATTCATTTCCAAGACTAAATCAAAGCGTAAGACAAAACCAGTGAGCGGAGAAGTATAGTCGGACGGGGCCAACCATATAATACCCTAAACAGCTTCCACTAAAATCTAACTCTCTGTGGTTCTATATATTTCGCGATATTAGTACAGTACAGATAGCCTTCACCGCGGGTTGTGTTTCAATTGTGGCCTATAGATCAACTCAAAAAAAATAAGTTTTCGGTCCAATTCATCCCAAAATTATTATCTGATCATTACCGAAAATTATAAAAAATTATATATATGTAAGCACCTGTCAATATTTAAGTGTAAGACTCACATCCGAGTACATACGACAATATAATTGATATCAATTTCAAGGTCAACCACTCCTCTTGCATATACTATCAACATCTCGGGTATATGTCCTTCATGGGTAAATCTATACGCTATAGAATACAAAATTTGTAATTTTTCACACAAAAGTCATTTGACCCATTTTTCCCGATCCCCTTCTCCATGTAAAAATTCGCGATGTTTGGGTCATAATTGAAGCCTCTCGAGCGACCAGAAAATCAGACAAAAATAAAGTTTTTGGTCCATTTCATCCCCTTAATATGAACCGATCTTTACCAAAAACAAAAGGGGTCTTCATAGGCCAGAACCCGTCCTACATGCAAAATTTCGTGAAGATTGGTCCATAACTGTGGTCTGTATCGTATTTACAAATTACAATGGACGGACGGACGGACGGATCGGTAAATGTGAATATGTGCATAGTATTACTATTACTCCATTAGAGGACGGAAATGTCGCGCTGATCGCTTTGAAATTGTAATGGAAGTTCCGATTATGGTCGAGGACGACGCCTATAGTTTTCTGTGAAGTTGAGATTTTATTCAGGTGGTGCAATGAACGGAAAACTTTAATTTTGACAGATTTTCTAGATTTCCCCTAGAGGCAATTATTATATGCAGAACATGAAGGGGATGTGACCAAATACTTATAGCGGATGTTTAGATGATGATGATCGGTCAATATTCCGAGGGTCAAATCAACCAAAAGTGACGAGTTTTTTATTTTATACCGTAAAAATTCACTTCAAGAAAAAAAATGGAAAATATGCCAGGGTTAGAAACTGGAACTGTTGAACTATAATCGATCAAGAGGGTGCAAATATCACGAAATATTGCCCAGTTTCAGAATATAGAAACGCAGAAAGCTAGAGTTCCGTGGTAGTTGTGTAGGATATCATATGGTCGGCCCCGTCCGACTATACAGCTCCGCTCACTGGTTTTATCCTAATTATTAGGATATTTTTTCCTTTTGGGACGTACCCGTTTATTTTGGGCGGAAGTTCGGGTACGGGTATCAGGCTTTACGCTAGTTTCGTAAAAATTATCAGATTTTTTTTGAAATTTTTTTTCAGAGGTATATTTTTTAACATTATTATAGGGATATATTTTTTTTCTTGGGTCCTTTGACCCGGATATTAAAATGGAACAACTTTAGTTTAGTAAAAATGATCCGATTTTTCTGAAGTTTTTTTTCCCCAGAGGTGGGTATTTTTACCCTAATTATGAGGATAGTCGGTAGCCGGAAGTTCGGGTACGGGTACCCGTTTCTACGGATCCGATTACGGTGATGGGTTATTGTTTTTGAGATACAGCAAAAAAACTGGGTTTGGGACCGCGATTATTTTTTCGCACCTTTTCCAAAATGGTGCGATATGTGGCTGTATTTGTTATGGATCAAAAGATATGGGCCTTATAAAAACGAGAACCGGGTATCCGTTACAGAACTTCCCGGTCAAAGTTAGAGTAGTCCACGTAATGAAGTTTTTGGATTGGCTCATGACGCTTTGGGCTAGGTTCTCATTTATGAAGTAAATTGAATTGAAACCGGATACGTCCCCCAAGAAAAAAATATATGCCCATAATTAGGTTAAAAATACATACCTCTGGAAAAAATTTCAGAAAAATCGGATTGTTTTTACTAAACTAGTGTTAAGCCGTTTGAGTCTGTGAGGGTAGACCAAGTGGGCTTCTCAATGATAACTTATTTCATTTATCGAAATATCTCTCACGAATTTAACTCGTTAGATTTTAGTTCATTGAAAATTATCCATTTGAGTCTTAAATTTTAAGACCATCTCTCCCAGCGGTAATTCCCCTCTCCGTACAATTTTCACTTATTTCCCTTTCCCATTGAAAGATCATTAATGTGAAGTCATTTATTTATTTATTTTTGTTGTTGATTTCCAATCAATTGAAGTGGTTTTATTGTTTATAACATGTCACATATTTGACATATGTGAGTGCGTGTGTTCGTGAGTATCTTTATAAGTGACCCTTTTTCCGCCTGACGGAACTCACGCATTATTTATCCATCGCAATCTTCTATTGTTGGAATTGATGATTGTGCGTTCGTGTGTGTGTGAGTGTATCTGTGAACTGCCTGATTAAACAATTAATCAGTAGCCAGATAACAATTTACAATTTCAAAATGAGAAATATGTCAAATATTTTATGATGACAGATGACCTGATTATTGATAAATTTAAGGGCTTGGGTGTTGGTTAATAATAAATCATACAATGAAAGGGAATGAATTGTTGTATTTTTTTTTTTTTTTTTTTTTTGTTCAACAAAAAAAAATTAATCCTCCGACAATTAAAATTATTCAAGCAGACTATTTACGAAATTTAACCCTATAAATAAAGAAAAAACTTAAAATACTTAAAACAAATCATTTCATCTCCCTAATAAATCTGATTTTTCTTTGCAGCTAATCAACATGGGATTCACTTAAATTATGCATAACTAAAATTAATTGATTTATAAAAAAACAAATATAAATTTAACACAAAACAATTTAATTGAAAAATATAATAACAATATTCATATACTATGAAAAAAGTGAAAACAATTGAAAACGACGAAATGCTGAAATTCATTAACAAAAACAATCAAAACAAATTATGTACAACGTGATAATTCAATTGATATCAGCAAGTCAACATATTTTTATACATATCACCAATAAATAAACCACAAAACAACAACACCACCACCAACAACTACAAATGATTTGTTCCGACGGAAGTCTACAAAACAAAGTTATTGCCGGTAAAAAGACCAACATCATGCAAGATATACGATTACGCATGGAAAACCATCCTCCTCACCATCACCACCATAATCATCATGATAATCCGATATCTTCGTATCATCACCATACCCTGCAGCAGCAACAACAACAACATATGGCGGCGGCATCACATCACATGGCCAATAGCCTGGGACGACGTGCTCTACCACAAATTAGCATAGGGTATGTTGAGTGTGTACATGCGTGTGTACCATACACATATGCAAATAGTTGTATATTTGCATGTGTGTGAGTGCGTAATAAAATATTTATTTAACAGCGTATCCTTTTCGGATAGCTAAACAAAAATATTCAATATTTACGTTTTCTTTTCCCCTTCTTGTTGTTTCCTTATGCAGTTGCAATGAAGACACCAACATTGTCAAACATCATCCGCATCAGGTACCATTGTCACCCAGTTCCGAGGAGGATAATTCAGTAACGGAAATGAACAATTGCCGGCGCTTGTTGGATAAACCGCCATTGGTAAGGTGTTTTTTTTAGAAAATTGACTGAATAACAAGTTTTCTGTAATTTGCGTCTGCCATAGAATGACCAGTACGCCTTCTAAATACCAGTATGACCTCTAAATAGCATAGGATATCAGGTACAGAAATACATTTTAGAAGATCTATGTACCAAAGTGCCTCAGTGTCCGCTCTAGACTATAAAAAGATATCTAAGTGCTTTATAGGCAACTAGCATATGCCCGCTACTTCGTTAGCGAATGTGGGATACATTTAAACATGTATTAACATATTATTTTCACAGAAAACTGCATATGTCAGAAAAACTAAACTATCGACACATTAATATCGGCCATAAATTTAATTCGAGTATCTTTTAGTACCAAATTTCATTTTTCGAGCTCTACAGGTTCACCCACAATTCAAATTGTACCAAATTTAGCACACATTATTTCCAAGAGTACCCACCTCAACCATCCAACAAAATACTACACCCTCACAATGATTCCAAATTCAAATTTCAGTATTTTCAACTCTATGATTCACCCACAATTTAAATTGTACCAAATTTTGAACACAATATTACGAATTTCCAATATTAAAACCAAACCCACATCCCCACAGTTATCCTAAATCTAGATTCCAATTCTATCTTTTTACCAAAAATTCAAATTGTACCAAATTTGGTACAGTAGTACCAATTTCCAATTCCAATTTAAATCAAAGGTTCAGGATTACAATTCTATCGGTCCACCCACAATTCAAATTGTACCAAATTTGGTACACAGTAGTACTAGTTTCCAAAACCTCCTAATTACCCCAAACCTAAACTCCCACAGTGATCCTAGTTCCAAGTTTCAGGATCCCAGCTCTATCGGTTCACCCTCAATTCAAATTATAACATATTTAGTACATAGTAGTATCAATTTCCAAAACTTCCAACACCTGCACAGTGATCCCAAATACATGTTTCATGATTCCAACTCTATCTGTCCAACCACAATTAACATTGTACGAAATTTAGAACACAGTAGTACGAATTTCCAAAACGTCCTACTTAACTTAAACATTCACCCCAAAATGATCCTAAATCCAAATTTCAGGATTCCAACTGTGTATCGGTTCACCCACAATTCATATTGTAACAAATTTAGTACACCGTAGTACGAACATTTAAAACTTTCTACATATCCCAATCCTACATCCCCACATTGATCCTAAATCCAAGTTTCAGAATTCCAAATCGATCGGTCCACCCACAATTCACATTGTACCAAATATAGTACACAGTAGTACCGATTTCCAAAACTTCCTACATACCCCAATCCTACACCTCCACAGTAATCCCAAATCCAAGATTCAGGATTCCAACTCTATCGGTTCAACCACAATTCAAATTGTACCAAATTTAGTACACATTTTTAAAACTTCCAACATGTCTCGATCTTATAACCTAGTGATCCTGACTCCAAATTTCATGATTCTAGCTCTCGATCTTACACCTTAACAGTGATCCTGACTCCAAATTTCATGATTCTAGCTCTATCGGTTCGCCTAAAATTTAAATTGTACCAAATTTAGTACCATTTAGTGCCCATTAATATATAAATTGCTTAAACGGAAGCCTGACCCCAATCCTACACGCCTACAATGATCCTGACTTCAAATTTCATTGTTCATCCAAATCCAAATTGTACAAATTATAGTACGATTTAGTACTTTTCGTCCTCCAAAATAAATTGGTACCAAATATAGTACCATGTAGTACGTTTCGTACACACAAGCTTTAAAAACCATCTCCTTAAATGGACCCTACTTCTCAACCTTAATTCACACTCCAAACTTCAAGTTTTTAGCGCTATCCGTTTACAGAATTGTACCAAATTTAGTAGATTTTCGTATTTTTCGGATAGTTATAGTTCGAATTTCCAAAAACCCTTTGGTACATCTATCCTACACTACATCAACGACCACCAAGCCAAATTTAAGAGTTGACATTTAGTACTTTTTAGTACTTTTCGTACTGTTTTAGTACGAATTTCCAAAAACCCAGCCTTATCTGTCACCTTTGGACCAAGAATGACCCTCACCCATAATTTCAAGATTCTAGCTTCAGCCGTTTCAGTCAGTCAATCACTTTACTCTTTTATCAGTATAGATATATATTTCCTATCAATCTCCTTTGTACAACTATGTAACGACGGAATGCAAATGCGCGAATCTATGCTATGATATTTTGCACCTTTTTACAGCAGAATATTGTAAGTCTGTGCAAGGAAAAACATACATACATACAAACAAGAAACACTCACTTATTAACATACATCTCTATGTATTTACCCAACTATATCGGTGGGTATGTCAATAGGCTTGCTGCCACTGCTGCTCCATTTCTTGAGGCAACTTTTTACATGCCAGGAACAACTTGGCATAGTTTTGTATGTCTATAACATTTTATTACAATGTTGTCATCATTTTGTAAATATGTATAAAGGTATGTATTTCGGTGTGAAACAGTGAAGACAGTTTAGTAGGTGTAGGTGTTTGCATCCATCTACTGGTAGACATTTATCCCCAAGTCCACAACAGGTAAACGACATCAAAGGAAACATTACTATTGTGTAATTCAAAGCTGTGGGGTGAGGGAGTTGTGGATTGGGCGAGTGTCCTTTGTAAGGCATAACACATAAAATCGGATGTTCATAGTAATTTGTTGTTGATGTTTTTCTTTTTGTTTATTCAATTGCATTTTGTTGCATTCGAAAGGGATAATGATGTCGTATCTCTTTTTTTGCAATGATTTAATTTTATTTGAGCCAAATATAAATCCGATAATGAGAAAAAATTATTTTTTAGCCTTAAAAAATAATGTCCCTTTGAATATCCTTCAAATAAAATATTTTTTTTAATTCCAATTTTTATTAGCCTTCAATTTTTTTTTTAAATCCTCTTTGATTACCTTTGCCAAATATAAATCCGAAAATGAGAAAAAAAATCGTTTTTTAACCTTAAAAAATAATGTCCCTTTGAATATCCTTCAAATAAAATGTTTTTTTAATTCCAATTTTTATTAGCCTTCATTTTTTTAAATCCTCTTTGATTACCTTTTGACAAAAATAAAGATGTCGGTTTATTGCACCCTAAGCACCATCTCAACATCACCGAAAATTATAGGCATCGTCATTGACCATAACCGGAACTTTATGTAAAATTTCAAAGTGATCAGCGCGTCATTTCCGCCCTCTAGTGAGGTAATAGTAGTGTTAAACAATATCATGGAACATAGACACCTTTAAATATTTACGTATAACATACAACTATATAATTGGTATCAATTTAAAGATCAATCATGCCTCTTGGATATACTATCAACTTCTCGTGTCTATGTTCTTCAGGAGTAAATATATTCGCCATAGAATACACAATTTGTAATATTTCACACAGGGGTCCATTTGACCCGCAAAATATTGACCGATCTTTATCAAAACAGACATGCTAATACTTTGGTCTGATCCCCTTCTCCATGTAAAATTTGTTTGGGCCATAATTGCGACCCCTGGAGCGACCAGAAAATCATTGGACAGAACCCATTCTACATGAAAAATTTCTTGAAGATTGGCCCATAACTGTGGCCTGTATTGTGTTTACAAATTATATTGGACAGACGGACGGACACACATGTCTAGATCGACTCAACTGGTCGAGATATGATCGGTATACTTAAAGGTGGGTCTAGGACCAATATTTCGCTGCGTTACAAACTCTTGGGGCTGCACAAAGCTATAATACCCTGACAACGTAGTTGTGTAGGGTATAAAAATATTTTGAATAAATTTGCGAATTTCATAAGGCTTTAAGAAATATTTTTAAAAAGTTTTTTTTTTAAGAAATACATTTTCTAAAAATACGCACTTATACTGGCATAAAATTCCCCTTAAACGACACTATTGGTCCTTTAAAGAAATATGTCCTTTTTTATGATTTTATGATTCTTTAACAATGTTTTGAATATTCAAAACAAAGATCCCCCATTTATCACTCACCCAAAAAAAGTGTCTTTATTTTGTTTGTCCCTAACACAACCTAAAAAAAAGACTGAACCATTTAACCAGTTAACTATATATCCCCACATATGCAAAAACAGCAACAGCAACAACTACAACATAAAAAAAAGAGAACCAACTATTTTTCAACAGTTTATTGTAATTTCTTTTTAAATATTACAAAACTTCCATGAATATGTTATCCGGCACAACAACAGCAGCAAAAAAATAAAACTAAAAAATGAAATGAAATAGGGGGGAATGTTTTCTTTTTGTGTGATGGATGCATAATCCTGCACTCCACACACCCACTACCTTCTTCTCTCATCTCATCCGCTTTCCACCAAAAAAAGGATAAATCTTTACAATTACACTAAAGTTCGACGACTTTATTGTTGTTGCTGTGTATGACTGTGGGTGTGTGTGTGTTCGTGTCGGAAAGCAATACGAGTATACTGAACAGCGGAATTGTTGGGCATTTTGACCGAGATGTATGTTCCGGAGAAGTTGAAGTATACAATGAATGTTGCTACGGCTGCTGCTTCTGCTCTGTGTGTGTGTGTTTGACAGGTAGTGATGGTGACGTAAACCAAAACAACAACTTCTATTGTTTTTATTGTATCTACCACCATTCAGGAAGGATGCCAGGAGGGCAGGACGTTGGAACTACTTGTATAATGTTTCCTTTTGTATTCTCATCATCATCATCATTGCAACAGGCCAACTTTCTATTGTAAACATTGCCATGCAGTGTTAGAACAATGCACCCCGACCATCAGATGTCGGCATAACATATAGAGGTAATCTGGGGTGAAAGTGTTTTGTGCCTTCAGTTTTTGGAGCTATTCATTTCAACTATGAATGGCTGGGGGAAAAAACTTGACAATACATGGCCCACATGTCCCAAGGCTGGGATGGGAAATTAATTATTCTACTTAGAACAATGGATAATTGATCGATTTGCTAGCTGGATTTCAAATCGTGAGGGGATAGATTTTTAAATTCTTAAAAAACAGAGAAACAAGTTCAAAACACACAGTCCAGCTTGTCATAAAAAACAAAATATTTTTTAAAAATCCACGTCTCCGGTAAGCTTTGAGAAAAGCTTTGAACATATTTTTAAAAAATTCGGACCTATGGTTAGCTTTAAAATTTCTTTTTAAAAACTCGGGCCTATGGTTACCTTTAAAAAATATTTTTTAGAAATCAGGACCTATGGTTAGCCTTGAAAAAGGGAATTTAAAAAAAATTCGGGCCTCTTGTTAGCGTTGAAAATATTTTTAAAAAACAAAAAAACACTCCTATGGTTTGTTTTGTAAAAACATTAAAAATACACTCCTCTGGCCATGAAACAATTTTTTTTTCAAAAAATCCTTCAAAATTTTTTTTTTTTTTTTTAAAAATCCACACATTCAATTTTTTTTTCAAAAAATCCACACATTCAATTATTTTCAAAAAATCCACGCCTTCAAAAAATTGTTTTTTCAAAAAATCCACACATTCAATTTTTTAAAAAAAATCCACACATTCAATTTTTTGAAAAAAATCCACACATTCAATTTTTTTTTAAAAAATCCACACATTCAATTTTTTTTTAAAAAAATCCACACATTCAATTTTTTTTTCAAAAAATCCACACATTCCATTTTTTTTTTCAAAAAATCTACGCCTTCAAAAACATTTTTTTTTAAATCCACGCCTTCAAATGTTTTTTTTTAATCGTCTTCAAAAAAATATTTTTAAACAATCCACGCCTTAAAAAAGTGTTTCAAAAATTCACGCCTTCAAAACACATTTTTAAAACATTCACCTTTTAAAAAAATACTTTTAAGAAATCCAAACCTCAAAACAAATATTTTTAAAAAATCTTGGCCTTCAAAAAATATTTTTACAAAAATCCACGGCTTAAAAAAATATTAAAAAAACACGCCTTCAAAAAAAATACTTTTAAAGAATCCTCGCCTTTAAAAAAATATTTTTAAAAAATCTAGGCCTTCAAAAAATATTTTTTTACAAAATCCAAGCCTACAAAAAAATATTAAAAAAATGTTATTTAAAAAAAATATTTAAAAAAAAATTATTTTGTTTGGTTATCTAATATTAATTCCTTCATTCCAGGTAAAACGTCTCACCATGGGTATGGGCTTGAAAAGATCCACCGAAGATAGTCGGCCCCTGGTCCATAGCACACCTCCGTCTCTCAATTCGTATAGCGCACAAACCTTTTCCGATGGCTATGTAAATGAAGCAATTTGTGATCCTGATAAATTTATCTCAACACGATTTGGTGATTCGTGTCGCCAATCATTAACCGATCTAAAAAGTTCGCAATGTTTTGCCGAATCGAATTCAGAATTTGGCTATCAAAAATCATTTCTGAGGAAAACTTGTAGTGGTAGGAGGAAATGAGAATTTTAATCTTTTAATTTTCAAAAAAAAACCCTCTTCTTTTCTTTCACAGCCAACTCAAGTCCAAAAATAATATCACCCAGTGGGACACTGCGCGTTGAGGGTTTAAGTCCAGCCGAGCAGAAAGAATTAAAAGGTGCCCCCTGGTTTCAGGCAGGCATACCGCGAGAAATATCCCTTGAGGTGTTATCGAAACAGCCACCTGGCTCGTTTTTAGTTAGGCAAAGTAATACAAAACCCGGCTGTTTTGCATTGTCACTACGTGTACCTCCCCCAGCGCCCAAAGTAGCTCATTATTTGATTTTGAAAACGGCCAATGGTTATAAAATTAAGGTTAACATTTGTTTGTATATTCAACTAAATAAAAATATTATTTACCAATAACGAATCTCTCAATTTTCTAGGGCTTCACCAAGGAATTTTCATCACTGCGTGCTCTGATAACCCACCATTCGGTAATGCCAGAATTATTACCGGTGCCTTTAAATCTACCCCGGCCCACAACGAATATGTCACATGGCAGTCATGCACGTGGTGATCGGGGTGGCTTTGAGTCGGGACAATTCGATACATATGGTTCGTTAAATGATTTTCGTAAAATGATGGACGAATTAAATGTTTAACAACAACAGAAATTGAGCTAGGAAATCTTACCACCACCACCATGGAATACAACAAACGAATTTTTTACAAATTAATTTAAAATCGGGCTTTAATTTAAAAATTAGCATAAAAAAGAAATCGCTACCAGAATCAGAAAATATAATTTGCAATTAAAAATTAGCCAACGGGAAAATTTAAATTTAAGTTTAAATGTTTTTTTTTTAATATAGTCTATTTTTTTGCAATGCTATTATGTTTAAATAAATTGTTAAAAATACAAATACTACAAATTATAAACTGTGAATAAACTGTTAACAGTATGCATTATTAATTAGATTCGTTCGCGCATTGTTCTTTTATATATAAAATATAATATAAATAAAAAATAGGTTTAAATAAAATTGAACATAATCGGAAAGGTATGGCAAATTGAAAAAAAAAAAATATATATATATATATATATAATATCTAAAATATACCATGTTAAATAAAATAAATATAAAAAATACACATTTATACTTTATAAAATATGTGGTGTTTGATTTTCTTTAAAATATCCCACAATTATTAATTCTTTTAAAAATATGTGAGAATGTTTTTTCAACCGAATTGACTGTAATTTAGTATTTTGTGTTCTTAATAGGTTTCAAATCTCTCTATAAGGGTACCGCCCAATTTTCGATATGTTGGTGTTCTTGAGCGCGTTTTTCAACCGAATTCGCTGAAATTTGGTACATCGGGTTCTTTTTGGGTACCAAACGTCTCCACTACAAATTATAAATATTGGTCCACTTTTTTTGGTAGCCCCCATATAACTGTACCCCCAATTTATGTTATTTTGGGGGTATTTTTAAGCGCGTTTTAAACCGAATTCGCTGAAATTTGGTACAATGGGTTCTTATTGGGTACCAAATTTCTTCACTAAAAATTATAATTACAGGTCAATTTTTTCGAGTGGCCCCATATCAGGGCAGCCCCAATTTTCGATATGTTGGGGTTCTTGAGCGCGTTTTTCAACCGAATTCGCTGAAATTTGATACATTGGGTTATTTTTGGGTACCAAATTTCTCCACTAAAAATTATAAATACAGGTCATTTTTTTCGGGTAGCCCCCATATCAGGTCAGCCCCAATTGTCGGTATTTTGGGGTTTTTATTATTATATATAATTAAGATTTCTTTTGTAGGTTAAGCATAGGTGCACATTTTTTCATTGCCCTTTACAAAAAATGATTTTTTAACTACCAACGTACATATATTGAAGCAAAGCGGCCATCGATAGTGTGTACAAAACTATAGTCAACAATTGACAACATATGAACGATTAGTCTTAAAACGATTTATAGAACCCTAATTGTTTTACTAAGTTTACTAAGTGTCACAGGAGGGGCAGCAGCAGCACAACTGTTCATAAAAATTAAAAATAATCACAGGCGAATCGATTGAAATAAATCAAAAATGGCAGCAAAAGTAGCTAATGCACCAAATAAAGTATTCCAGAATGTAAGTTTGTCAATGCGGTGGCTCCAACGTATCTAAATAATACAACTACCAAGTCTAACCTCAATCAAAAGTCCATTCCTGTCATTGGGTGCTTACTCATATGTTTTTTTTTTGTGTTTGATGGAATGCTCTATATATGGAATATAAACAATTAATAATTTGTATTATTTTGTTCTTTGCAGCACGATGATGTCCACATCTCATTTGAGGATCAACAAAAAATCAATAAATTCGCCAAACACAATGCCCGCATGGATGAACTGAAAGTTGAATTGGAAATGAAAAAGAACGATTTGAAAAGTGTCGAAGAGGCGTTGGAGGAAATTGAATTATTCGATGAAGATGAAGAGATCCCTTTCCTTTTTGGCGAAGTATTTCTGTCACACAAATTGACCAGAACACAGGTAAATATTTATAATTTGTGTGATTTGTGGAGATTTTAAAATGTTGGAAATATTAGGTTTGTGAATGTTCAGCAGCCTTTCTCTTCGATTGAAAACAAAACATTTAATTTATATCTAAATATGAATGAATATTTACCACTGGAAAGGTTACGTCTACATATATTGCCTGTTCCTGTACTGTAAGAATCTACGAGATTTTTCTATTTTCTTTGATAACATAAACGAAAATTCGTTACCGTAGTAAAAAATCAAAGATTCTTTCAGTACGGGAACAAACCAATAATGTCTATGCAATGGCATATGGTCAAGGGAATAAGGCCAACCAGTGTTAAACACTTCAGTTAAATCTGAAAATGGCTTCCTTCTCAATCTGACATTAAAATCTGCACAAAATATTAATATTATATTTTATATTCTAATAAAAATTATCTTTTGCAGGAACTTTTGCAAGAGACTAAAGAGCAAACCTTAAAAGAAATTGCCGCCATCGAAGCCAAGGCCAATGATATTAAATCTGAAATGAATGAACTTAAAGCTCAGTTGTATCAACGTTTCGGTAGCAATATCTCATTGGAAAGTGATGATTAATTACTACATCTACATTAGTTGTATAAGACATCTGTTTGTGTGTATCTCTCTCCTGTAGCATTTGTGTGTCGGCACCGGCTGCGCGAAACAATGAAATAAATTTATTTATAACAAAAATCTCAATTTTCTTTTGTCTCTGCAAAATTACATATATAAAAATTTAGAACAGTATAGTATGTTTAAAATCAATCAGGGTTCGCAGAAAAGTTTTTTGGTAATTTTTGGAAAATTTAAATTTTGTGAACTGGTCTTGACCCGTTTGCAACAATATAATTTTTATCGATGAAGTTCGCATGTAGCGTTTTCCGAGTATTTAATGTTGAACTGAAACTAATCGTATTTTTTCAACTAAAAAGCTATTTTGTGTGTTCGGCCTAAGATTTAATCCATTCCTCTATGGAATGGATTTAATCTTTTCAAAAACCACGACCAAACACCGGTTACAAAACAAACATATCTTTTTAATTAAACAAGTTATTTTTGGGTGGACGGCCTTGACCGTGCATTTTAAACTTTACATACGAGATGTAAAGATGCCAAGAATTATGAACAACCATACATCGTGGTAATTTGGGCCTAAAGAGCTTCTTAAAGTAAAAAAAATCTAAAATATTCCCTTGCTTCCAGAACTTGGGTCTTGGAACATGACTTAAGCCTATTTTTAAGCGACTTACCATTTGGTATTCTGCTCGTCCACATTTAATATTTATTTCTTTGTTGTTGTTGTACATGATCAATCACGATTTTCTTCGAAAATATTGGCGTTAAATATCAATCCTCGAGTTATTTCGTTAAATATTTCACAGAAAATAATCATGCGTTTTGAAGCACCGTTTTTTACGATTCGAGTGGATCTTTTCGATCATATCGCGCTTGTTTTTTTTTCTTTTATGTATTGGCCCGGCTCCCGACTGTGCGAGTATTATAACGCCACCGCCAATCCACCATCGGATTCTCTAAGAAATCTTAACCAAAAACATATGCAAATTTTAAACCGACGTAAAAATGTCATCACACAAAAACATTCTGCGTTTTTTAAAACACTTTCTTTGTTTTTTATTTCTTTTTCTATGTTCCATTTTATTTTAAAAATTTCACAACAAAAATTATTCCTTATTTCTGATTTAAACCTGAACGCAAAATACATATGTACGTTATACGCCGATAACATGACATCGCAAAATCGGTCTCCTTTGACATTTAACCAAACGATAACATGATATTTGCATATTAATCGCCTTTCCAGCGACTATCGATAACGATAAATGATTTATTTTTCTCCCTTTACACGTTTGACGTTTGATCGAATTATTTGCCAATTCGAGACAGCACGCTTATTTTTTGCCATAAAATCGTGGAAAATTAAAAGATTTCAGCTCGAAAGTATTGAATTTTAGCAGACGAAATGGCGGAGTTTGATTTAACCAGAACTAATTGTCAATTTTTGGATCGGCATTTGACTTTTCCCCTGTTGGAATTTCTGTGTGGCAAAGAGGTTAGTTTTCTTTCTGGCAGCAGTAGCAGCGAAAAAACACCAGCAATGCAAAGCCGTGCAGAAATGTTTTTGTTTGACGATGCTGCTGGGCACGGCCCGCAGATGACTAAATTGCTGGTGTTGATTTCAAAAAATGTATGGCTGATATTAATTTTTTTTTTTCAAATCACTTACAGATCTACGATGAAAAAGAGCTGCTCGAATATATTTTGGAAACGGTAAATAAGACCAACATGATCGATTACACCATGGATACACGCAAACGTTTGGGTCTGAGCCAGGAGATGCCCGAGGAATTGGTACAGCGTAAAGCTGAAGTATTGGCCACCCTTAAGCAGCTACAAAATGAAGTAGCCCCCCTGATGAAGGCAACAGATATCCTGAAGAATGGTGAAAGTATGAAGGATACCAAGACTTTTGTGAATGCCTTGCAAAAGGATTACAATTTCAAGGATGAACATTTGGAAAGTGCCTACAAATTGGCAAAATATTTATATGAATGTGGTAATTATCAAGAATCCACATCATATTTGTATTTCTGCTTGATTGTTATGTCGCCGGATGATAAGGTAAGGATTGATTGCTTAGTGGGGTTTTGAGGAAAATATTGAAATTTTGAATGGAGTACAAATGAAAGAATGAGGATGAGGTGCTAGGGGTATGCCATAATCTTGATTAGAAAATTATCTGTATTGGGTTCGATTTTAATTTAGTTTTGTAATTTGGTTGTTGAACACAAATAAATAAAATGGGGATAATTCTACTGAGTGCTGGCGTAGGTGTGGTTTTTACATGAAATTAAAAACCATGGAGTTGTTTCCCATGCAAATTATTAAATGTATACAGTCTAAGAGTTATAAAGATTTTTTTCTTGGGATTTTGTATATATGCCGTCGTGTGGCCTTCAAAATCCCAGAAATATAACTGTAATCATGATTACAATTCCAGATCGATACAGTTTCTTGATTAAATCATAATCTGGGTTCTAGACAGATAGAAAGTGCCGGGAATTTACTAAGAATCAGGCATCGCTATTTGTGGTCGAAGTCTTCCTTATCACTCCCACAATGACGGCGTGCAGGTCTTCAGAATATAGGCGAACAATATCAAGTTTTTTTTTTTGTAAATTAGCTTAAGAAAATATTCTAAAGGAGGTACAAAAAATATAGGGTAAGACCAGCATATTTGGAAAATATTTCAGAACCGTGCATCTATGAAAAAAACTATAAGTGTCATTAATTCTAACTATTTACATTTCCATTTATAACAAAAATATTCTTTCTTCCCTTCCAGAACTACTTGAATGTTTTGTGGGGTAAATTGGCTGCCGAAATTTTAACCTTGAATTGGAATACCGCCTTGGAAGATTTGACACGTCTACGTGATTACATCGACAATGCCAACTTTACCACTGTTCAAGCTTTGCAACAACGCACCTGGCTCATCCACTGGTCCGTGCTCGTTTTCTTCAATCACCCCAAGGGACGTGATTTAATTATTGATATGTTTTTGTACAAACCATTGTATTTGAATGCCATTCAAACGATGTGCCCACACATTATGCGTTACTTGGCCACCGCCGTCATTATCAATCGTACTCGTCGCAATGCCCTCAAGGATTTGATTAAGGTCATCCAACAAGAATCCTACACATATCGTGATCCTATCACCGAATTTTTGGAATGCCTTTATGTCAATTTCGATTTTGAAGGTGCTCGTCTCAAATTGCACGAATGTCAAACGGTTATCCTAAATGATTTCTTCATTGTTGCCTGCCTCAATGAATTCGTTGAAGATGCTCGTCTCATGATCTTCGAAACATTCTGTCGCATACATCAGTGTATCACGATCAGTATGTTGGCTGACAAATTGAATATGACAACCGCCGAAGCTGAATGTTGGATTGTCAATTTGATTCGCAATGCCAGGCTAAATGCAAAAATTGATTCGAAGCTAGGACATGTTGTTATGGGTACACAGCCGCTCAGTCCCTATCAACAGTTGGTGGAAAAGATCGATTCGCTGTCAATGCGTTCGGAACATTTGGCAGGACTGATTGAACGTAAGAGTATACAAAAGATTCCAGAAAATATTGACTCGTGGAAATATTATTAAACAACAACAATAAACAAAAAATTACACAACTACAGCAAGAATAATATAAAGCTATTACAACAACAACAGCTACAGTAAATTATTATTTTATTATTTTCTAATTGATTCCATTTGATACACGGATGTATTTTACATTGAAAAATAACACAAAAACAAAAAAGCCTACAGAATAAATTTACAATCAAACATCTTGATTCTGGGCGAAAAAAAGTTTTCGATTTTCAATTCTTTTTTGAAGTAGGGGAGAGGGGGGCACCTTTGAACACTTTTTGCTTTCAAGCCTTATAAATTTTTTTATTTTATAATTTTTAGTTTCTTATAAATTTTAACTAATAGGTGCATATGTAACCTTCAAAATGAATATACATATGACATACTGTAAGCTTGATAAATATATTTTATTACTGTTTTAATGGACGAACTCAAAGTGTTCAAAACTGCCCCCCCAGGGGGGCAGCTTTGAACAGAGGTTGACATTTTTGAACGACATGGTTTTTTACAGTGTTTATGTTTAAATATATATTTATTTTATTAATACATATCAGAAATGCATTACTTCATTAAAAAATATATAAAAAATGTTCAAAATTTAAAAAATTTAGATCAAAAGTTATTAAAACATAATATGACATAAAAACAAAAATTAATATGGTGAAAAATACAGTTAATTTCGTAGTCTTATTATCCCATTTGAAATTTTGAGAAATCGAAGCCAAAAGTTAAAAACTACGCATTTTACTCGAATTTAATGGGCATGTTCAAAGGTGCCCCACCCATGGCATTTTACGGAAATTTAAAATAACTTTTTTTGTAATAAATATATATGAAAGAAATTACATTAGTTATGTTTGAAATGATTGTTGGAATGCAAAATATTTGTTTGACGAAAGAAAACTATCACAGAATTCTTCCTGCGCCCTTACAACCAAATGAATAAAAGTTTACAATGACACTGAGAAAACATGGTAACCCATGAACAATTTTTCGACAACTGAAAAAGCAAGCCAAAGTGGTTTACGCATATAGAGAACAAGATTGTCATATACAAAAATGTGGTTGCGGGTCGGAAAAATATTACACCAAGATTTTATGAGCGCTGTTCAAAGGTGCCCCACGTTCAAAGGTGCACCCCTCTCCCCTATTATATGTGGGCCATGGAATGGGAATTCCATTGGAATAAAATATCTATATTTTAAAATCTCTGAATGGCTCAGATGAAACGATAGTAGTTCGTATCTTGAAATTGAAAAATTGCTAATAACTTTGCAGTATGGATATTTATTATTTTCTTTATTTATTCATTACTTTACTAAAAACCAATTACAGCTTTTAAAAAAATATATCAATGGATGAGCAAACAAAGCTGCTGGGGTCCATCATATAAGCAATATATAATATAATAAGTTCAACATTAAACAATATATAAAAAAATTTAAATGCTAAAAAATTAAAACATTCAATATTTTTTAATAGTCATTGTTAGTGAATTTAACGGGAACTGTAATGCGTTCGTTTTCCATATAGACCTGAAAGAAAGAAAAAAATTGTAAATCGTAGAATAGAAAAAATTAAAACATTCAGGGATTGAAGTGTAAATTTTTAAAAATATTTTTTCAAACTTCAGTAGTGTTGGCGGTTTATTTGGGATACCATTTGTATTTTGTTTTTGCAAAATAGTCAGGCTGAATCCCAGTTTGTTGTTTTTATAAAATTATATTTTTCAAACACTAAATGCAGGCAAGGATTTTTTAAAAAACTAAACACAGGCGTGAAATTTTTTAAAATATTTTTTTAGGGAATAGACACATGTGTAATATAAAAAAAATACTTACGCTAAAATTAAACAAAAAATGTACACTAACTCACCATTACTAAAATATCCCCTCCTCGCAAATCCTCTTCTTTTGCATTGGCACTAAGATTGACGACAACCTCCGTTTGACCATTATCGGGAGCCACATATCCCTCGGAGGGGGTAAATTTAAATAAATGTTTCCTATTGCATGTGATTTCAAAATATTGTCGTGATTTAAAACCATTCTGGACAAATAAGGATGTCCGATCGAAACGACGATTCAAATTGATTTCCAATATTGACGGCTTAACAGACCATGCAATGAAATGGTGTTGTTGTTTGGCACGAGGTTCTTCCGACGTTTCACTGCCAACTCCATCTTCATCCTCATACATTTCATTAACCGTTCCCAGGCTAGATGCGGGTGGCGGTGTCGGTGAATCGGCCGCACATACAACTGTACGAAATAGCACTGTTTCATCCCCCTCGGGTAAGAATAGAGATGATGCCTCCGCCGTTTCATCCATATTATCATAGTTGAGTGTTAGTAGGATTTCATGTATACGAAAACCGGATGCCAAATCCATGGCCACACTGGGATTTTCATGAATATTTTGCAGCTCCTTCATTTCCACTTCATCATTGAATTCTGTCCACAGCATATCCAAAACATTTGAAGACATTTTGGCACGATCTGTTTCGCTCATTTGTTTCAGCAGGCGTCGTATTCGTTGGCGATTTGCCTCATCGCCACAAATGACACGCATATTGGCCAGGGTGAGAACATTGCGCATTTTCTTTAGCATTTTCTTAATTTCTTCGCGACGTGGCTTGAAAACGATACGCACATCCACTGTGTGTTGCGGTGGTATCAACACCTTTTGAGGATATATTTCAAAGGCGTCGCATAGACGTGGTAGTAAAAGACCCAATGAATCTATGGATACAACAGCAAATGCCATTAGGGGTCCTTTGTTGTAGAAACTAACTGTACGCTCCAGGGGATGTGTCAATTCACACAGATCGCCCATTGTAATAAATGGACTACCCACCGGACCCATTAGAATGTTTTGTGGTATCACACTGGCATTACCACCGTAACCATATAGAGCCACGTCTAGGAATGATTGACCCAGGCCCGAACCATTGGAGGTGGGTGCATAGAATGATAGTTTACCAATTGCCACACCACGAACTGTGGGACAGAAACTTATATTTATGGACCGGCACTCCTGCGAATGCATGGTAATCGTGTTGTTGCGTTCCGAGTTGACAATTTGAAAACCGGGTCCACTGACCTCGATACGTATGACCAAACGTTTGCTGACAATATTTTTAATTTGCATCGACTTGCGGGAATCACTGCGCAATTTAATGCTACCCCACGACAACTCCAAGGTGGTGACTTTAAGTGGTATCTGTTTGCCATCACGGTGACTGAATTCACTGGAATTGGAACAGCGAGAAATGCTGCGCATATTTGTGGCTGAAACCGTGGAACGTGCGGAATGTAGTGTACTGTAGCTGCAAGTACTGGAGGCTTCACTGCCCACCGGTGAGGAGACAGCCTTACGGGCCAAACCATTACCACCACCTCCAATCCCTGGTGTAAGTTGTTGCCTTTCCGAATGACTTGTCGTATCCAAGGTGGGTGTGGGCGAAGAACTTTGCGAATATTGATATCGAGTGGAGGCTGTTGAGGAAAGTGGTGAACTCTCCACACGAAATTCGCTGACGCTACGTGGCGATAATTGGGCATTACTGGCACTGCGTACAGCCAAACTAGTACCCACTTTACTGGATGACAGATTGGGTGATATACCAAAGTCGCAATCCACAGCAGCATTGCGCGGATCGCCATCCAAACGTGTGGAACATAAGGATTTGGGTTCTTTATTGGCCACACCGACGACTCGTTTATCCACCACATAAGAACGTGATGGACGAGAGTTCACTGGGGTACGGGCATTATCATCTTCATTGGGAGAATCGGCAACATCTGCCGGACGCATTGGGCTACGTTCACGTGGTGATTTACGACGTACACGACGACTTAAATTTTGTTTAGGTGTACCCGGCCATTCATCATTATCCGCCTCGGCACCATCGTCAACGGGTGCCGCCTCAGTTATGAAAATATTTGGGGTGGTCGATGCCACTTCAATGGGACTCAGCGGTGATCTCTGCAACTGCTGCTGTTGTTTTTGTTGCTGCATTGGACTACGCTCTAATTTTTTCATATCACTTGAATTCAAAAGTGATTCGGTAAAACTAACTGTATCAGATAAATCAATACGGCTACCATTGCTACCACGTCCCGTGATGGGATCAACATTTTCTTTATTCTCCAATATGAAATTGGCCATATCTCGACTTAGCATTTTCATATCGGCGGTATCCAATGATTGAGCACTACGTGGACGAGGACCATCTATTGTCGTTGAACTGTTATCGTTCTGGGGATTCATGCATGAACGAGATTTCTTGGCTTGCATTATTAGTTGACCCGTGAGGGCAGTGGTTGAGGTATTTTTGGAATCTAAATTTTCTAGAGAAACAAAAATAGAAAAAAATAAAATAAGTAAAACGAGAGAGAATTTTTTTATTTTTGTGATTTTAAAAATGTGCTTTGTTACCGGTTTAAAAATGCTCATTGGAATATTGTATAAATAAGGTAAAAGACACATATGTCTAAACTTACCCAATGCTCTATCAATGGCGGACATGCTCAACAAATACGAATTATCTGTAACATTTCCCGAATCTTTACTTTCATGTTTTGAATTAATGATGCTCGAAACTCTGGTATATGTTTTCTGATCAATTTTAGGTGTGACATCTAAAGTATTGGATTTATTTATTGTTGTTGTGGTTTTGGTGCTTGAGGCGCCATCCAAATTTTCTACAAAGTTGAAAATTTTCTATATTTTTTTTGGATATCGTAAAATATTGTGAACCTTACCCAAAGCTCTACCAATCGCTGACATACTTAGAAGGTAAGAATTTTCGGATGCATTGCCGGAATCTTTACTTTCATGATTTATCGCCTCCAATTGGCTATTGACTCGAGTGTACGTTTTATTATCAATTATCGGAGTGGCGGGTACAGAATATAATTCACTATTTATATTTGTGGTGCTAACCATATTGCTATCATCTTCATCGACCAAGGCAAATGGTGTACGACATTTATCCGGACTATTCGATTTAACAATATCCCATATATTTTCTGAACGCATTTGGAAAAAGTTACCCACCGAAAAATTGGGATCACCCGCAATTATGGAACTATGAAAAACAATTATTTTTTTGTAATTTTGTAATATTTCACATGTGATTTTGATACTTACTTTGATGCTGACGGCGAATCAAAACCATTTGATACCGCCTCCTCTGCAATGGCCGCCTTTTCCTTGGCCTTTTCACTCAATGTCTTGGCCGGTATGGCAGCATATTCTTGAGCCCATGATATTTCATCCATTAGCAATTTCGATTGCATTAGCTCTCCCGGTGCAAATTCTTCATTGGTGAAACCAGTTTCATTAGCGGTGCCTGCACCAGCACTAAATGAAAAAGATGTTCCACCAATGCCACCACCACCACCCTCACCATTAAATGATAATTGTGAAAATGATTTCTTGGACATTGACATATCAGCGGTACGTGGTAGACTTTTTGAGTCTTGATAGTGATCAAAAGAGCTACACACTGTCGAAGAAGATACCATGGATATACCATGTAATTTACTGGCTGTTGCATCCATTTCTGCACCGCTGCCACCACTAACATTTAACGAAGTATCACAATTACCCTGCAAGGTTTTACAAAGGTTACGTGTCTTCGGAGCAAATGAAGAAGCTAAAATTTCTTCGACGGATATATTTTTCAATTGTTTCGCTGATGCGGATGCCGTTGCGGTTGGTGGTTTGCGTATTTCTTTCTTGTACAGCGTCGAACGTCCCGTAATTTCGGTTGGCTCAAATGAGATTTTGGCATCTTTACAGGCTGATGGCGGATTCGAAGATGTTGTTTCTAAATGTATTGTTTCATCTGTTACAAGATCGGATATATTAATTGTATTGGGACGGCGAAATGGTACATAATCTGTGTGATCAAGTGCTATTTTTTGTGGGTGGTGAATATGATGGCGGGCATAAAATGAGACATGCATTAATGAAAACAAACACAAAAATTAAAATATATTTTAAATATTTTACTGATTTTCTATACAAAAAAATTGAATATTATTGGGAATTGTAATAGTATAGCTAGAATGACTTAGAAGAATCATACAAGAAAAAAATCAATGTAGAATTAAATGAGCCGAAGCCAGTCTTTGTAAACGAGCTGAAGAGAGACTTTTTCTAAACGAGCCGATAGAAGCCTTTTAGACGAGCTAAAGGTCTTTTTGTAGACAAGCTGAAAGGGTGTCTAACAGGCGAGATGAACTCCTTTAGAGACGTTTCTTTATATTCGATCTCTATAGAGTCTTTATGGATGACCTGAAGATAGTATTTATAGACTAGTTAATGAGAGTATTCTAAGACGAACTGAAGGGGACATTTATAGACAAGCTTAGGACAGTCCTATATAGGCAATCTCAAGGTGTATTTATAGATGATCGGAAAGCATTCTTATAAAGTAATTGAAGGGAATCTTTATAGATGATCTGAAGGCAGTCCTTATAGTTAATGAGGAATGTGTGGAAAAATCCGACTCAACATAAGCCTCTGAATCTCTAATAAAAACGCAAATTATAACATGCACTTCGAGAAACATTCAATTTTGCTTTCAAATATTAGCATAGCCAACAACTTACGCATAGAATTTTCCGTAGCTAAACCATTATTTATGATGCTTTTCATATTTTCCTTATTCGCCGAGACTTGATGGGGTTTCTTAAAGACATCGGGAGATTTGCCGTCGGCTTTTTGCAAGGCCTCCAAGGCTTTTTTGCGTTCCATCTAAAAAACAAAGAAACAAATCCAAAACATATACACATTCCAATACATACAGACATCCCGCAGCATACTTACATTTAAACGATCACTTATTCTACGATCCGAAGATATGTTTGCGGAACTTTTAAAGGCATTCTTAAACGATTCATTTGATAAGTCACCAAAAACTATAATTAAATATTAATTTTAATTATTTCATATGACCATTAATTTGTTCATATCCCAGATTTTTCGAATTACATTTTCCTCGGTCCTTGAATTTATCCATATCGAGTATGCCCAATGACGAATCATCTGTACGCATTGAATTGCTTTTACGCTCCATTTTCGTCTTTGCAATAAAACAAAAGTTTAATTTTTCAACATTTAATTAAAACACAAAGATTACAATAAAAACAAAAAACACACACAACGGAGACTGTGACAAAGGATGAGGGTATTTTTTCCTCCTTTCAGCTAATTTTTGATGGCCCTTAATTTTTTTTGGCCATCACAACACTTTTTTAAAAATGGCGGCCTATCATTGCAAAATTGATCGATAACAAAATCTATCGATAATGATGGCACACAACATATGTTTGGCGTTATAACAGTTATCACTCTCTGTTAGCAGTTAGTGGGTAACGTAACGTGGTGTTTAAGTATAATTAAAGAAATATAAAAAAAGAAATGGATACTAAATTGATAAAAGTAAATTAAAATTAATGGATAATAAATTAATTGATAAGGATACATAAAACAATAATTCAATTTTAATAGAAGGCCAAAAAGCGTTTTAGAAAACTTATTGAGGAAACTTATCATAGAAAATCGAATGAATCTGAATTAAAAAATAATACGACAATTAGTTATTAACAAAAAGGTAGTAATAAATTTTGAACAAGTTCCTGTCAAAATCACTATTAAATGATAATCATTTAGAATAGATAACAGTTTTTGGTTTGAGATACAAAACCCATCTCGCATTTTGTTGATAAGAAGCCAGAAATAGATAACTTTTTTACTGATTTATGTATTATAAGAAAGGTCCATTAAACAGGTCGTTTAAGAGGCGAATATTATCGGCAAATTTGGTTGAAAATCCCCCCAAACTGTCAAATTGATTGTTACGTTTTCATACGATTAATTCAAAATTGAAAGCATTTTGACAGCTCGGATGAAATCATCTGGCCCATATCCAGACGAGTGGTGTTTGCTTTCTAATTCGTTTCTGACCCTATATTTTGAATGAATTGTTTAATAAATCACTTCGTTATTGTTGTTTTTCTATAAGCAAAATTTAATTTTTGTTTTTATTTAAGTTTTTGGGAAATTTTCTTCTTCTCAAGACAATTCACAACAATGAAAATAATTAAAAAATCGAAAAATATTATACAAAAATATATTTATATAATAACTATTATAAATAATATAATTAATGCTATTGGAAATGATAAACATTGGACTATAATATATAATGCTATGGAGCCAATAATACGGCCCAGCCAAAACTGATTATATACCAAATAAGATAGTAAGATCAAATCGAAAAGAGTTTGAAACAAGTCTAATGTAAAATTATTTCTTTTTATGAAATAAAATATCATATATAAAACCTACACAACAATTAAAAAGAAATTTTGAAATTATACAGAATTCCTCTCTAGGCGTAAGTTTCAAATATATAAATGTGCATAACAATTTCGGTTTTTTGTGTTTTTTTATTTTATTAGCCTCTACATTTGTCAGACTATTAATTGCTAACTTTTCTTGGCCGTCACATTGTTGGATTTCACCACCAGCCATGCTTTATTGGGTAGATTTTGTAGATAGTTAATCCATTTGCGTACACACAGTAGCCAAACAATACCATATATAATACAGATAATTGATTCTATATAATAGCCATCGAATACGATTTTACATTCACCACCGGCAGATGTACATTCCTGTAAAATAAAATAAAATTATGTTTTTTTATTATGAAATTAATATTGAGAATATGGAAAATAAATAATGAAGATTTAAAAGTCTGATTACAGAATATCCACAGTTATTCAAAGACCTAAAGGTATAATCTTGGAGGTCGCAAAAGTCTTCTCAAAGATGACGAGAACGTCGTCTCATAGAAAACCAAAGTATCTTTTCATACAAGTACGAGAAAAAGACCAACAGGTCTTCTAATAGAAGACCAGAAGAGCTTCTCGCAGAACAGAATGTCCAACTGGTCTTCTTCTAAAAAACTAGTTCTTCTTGAAGACGAAAAGCTCTTCTTTTAGAAGACCAAAATGTCTTCTTTTAGAAAACCAGTAGGTCTTAACATAGAAGACCAGTTGATCTTCACATAGAAGAATAGTAGGCATTCAAAGGTCTTCTCACTCTGATCTCTACATAGACATAAACTCACCCCATCTCATTGACTCACCTGTGTTTGTTTCTTGGTCAGACAATGATTCTTTTCCGCCAGACTATCATCGACATTGACACACTCTTTCCACGTGAGAACATCGACCAACCACAAAATGACCGTATTCGCCCAATTACCACCCAAATTCGATAATGTATTCAGGAATGTCATATAGGTTCCACCCACAGCTGGATCGGATATTTTGGCAAAGAATGCCATAACAGCAACAAACATACAATACAAAAATATTTGATAGATGCCATAGTTGACCACCAACAGGACATAATAGTAGATTGGCACCTCGCCACCCGCAATCATATACGGTGTCAAATAGGCAATTAACGATGCCAAGGAAGCGAAAACAATACGATACGGTATGGCTTTAACGTACACATCCATGGGACGGGGTCCATTTGTATAACGGCTAACAACCAATGGCAAAACAATTTGTAAGGGGATTATGGGTACGACCAGCAAAGCCAATTTTTCTTTGGGTACCCCGGCGTCGATTAGTTTCAAGGAAGTCACAGCATCGCAAGCGGCAAATGTCACCTTCACCGTTAATAGGATACCAGCTAGAATCTGTACTGGACGCATGCGTACCATATCGATAAGGATTTTATAACTTTCATAGATGTTCAATTCATGTTCCTCGGTGTAGCGGCTACCATCATCCTTATGCTTGGCAATGTTTTCCTTTTTGAAGAGGGCGACCAAAGTTGTGGCCACCAAGAAACAGATACCCCAGAACCACAAGAATTCCGGTAGGGTTACCATGCCAACATCTTTGGGTACGGAACGTAAATAGGTGTTGCAGAACTCCTTTGATTCCAAGGCAATAAATGCTACATAACCCAAAAAGTAGCCAGCAGTTTGTCCCACACTATTGCAGGTGGAGGCATAGCCAACATTAACACGTTTCAACATGGTCAAAGCCCAGCCGTCGACAGCAATGTCCTGGGTGGCAGCCAAAAAGTTTAGCAAGAAAAATAATGCGGTCAGCAGCGGTACATTTGGTTCAACTCCATTGCCACCCAACCAGCGATCCACCTGCCATGACAGGAACAACATAAATCCACCAATGAGATATTGGCATGGCACCAGCCATGATTTCCGTCGACCAAAACGTTTGACATACACCGCATCAACAATGGGTGCCCACAACAGCTTCAAACTGAAGGGCCAATAGGCAAATGAAAATTCCGCTTGCTGTTTATAGCTGGCTCCACGATTCTGCAAAAGCATAGGCACAGCTGCTATCAAACCCAACGGTATACCTTGCAGTATATACAAGAACAACAATATCAAGATGTTGCCCCGGTCGCCGCGTATGTCTGTTTTCTCGTGATGTGAATCATTTTTGTCATCCGTGACCAAAAGGGTCTCCTTGGAATTTTGACGACGCCTCATATCGTCTATTCCCCGCCAATGACTTTACTCTTCAAAAGTGTACTGCACGAAACCGTGAAATATTCAATATTTTTTAAAAATAAAAACAAACAAAAAACGACACGTCACACAATTTGAAAGAAAAACATGAGTGGTGCCTGCTTGTGTCGGGTTCTGTTTGCGGCGGCAGGGTTCTTTTCGCGTCTGTTTGCACCGCTGTTCTATTTTGGCCAAAACCACAAATAATTGTAAATATTTGTCGAAGAATTATTTATTGTTTAATAAACATGCATCGCCGTATTAATTTTTATTAATAAAAAAACCCGTACTTTTGTGCTCTTTTTAAACAGAAACACCTGAACACGACAAATGAGTGGTTGGACCTACGCTACCGCAAAGTAAAAAGAAGAAAAACAAAAACACAACCAAAACAACAACACCTGTTTGTAATCAATTGAGAACAACGTAGTGGGAAAGTTATACGAACGTTAATGTAAGGTAAACGGAATGTTGGGTTATGTTGATATACTGTAAATATTTTTTATTAAAACACATGGTATAATAATAGAAGGTAACAGCAAGTGTTGTTGTACAAAAAACGATACAACAACCACATGGAAATTTGTTGTTGTAAGTTCTACTAGTGTCAACTCATTTGACAGAAAAATGTAAACAAACAAACAAATTATCATCAAATTATTTTTATTTTGAAAATGAAATATTTTCGAATCCTCAAAATAAAAATTGAAAAACTGTCCTGTCCTATGGACCTTTATCGTCTGGAGTAGGAACTAATCTACTGACGGCGTTGGCTGGCTGACAGCTTGCTCCGGCAACAGCTCAGTCTTTGGGGCCGCAGTTCTTGTCAATAGATTAGACCTCGATAAAGTGGACAAAAAAAAAAACAAAACATCTATAGCCAGCGGGAGGACAAACAAAAGATAGCAACAGCAAATAGCATGACAGTAAAATAGGTTCTTGTCCGTCTGAAATCAATTGGTTTATTGGGCACTTTTCTATGGTATTAGGTGCCAGGAGAGATCCCACCCCACCATGGTATTCCTATTCTCCATTTTTTATCAGGGAATACCCCATACTTTCCCCACCTGTTTTCAATCTACGTTTTCTTACCCATTCTTAGTTTAGTTGTCCATATCACAAGACTTTTTGTTTAATTTTTAAAGCCAAAACGTTATAATATTTTTATTCATTAAAAGCCTTTCATTGGGTTTCGAATTTACATTGAGGTAGCCAATAGTTCATGGGGTTTTTGTAATTCATTTCAAATATCATCGAATATACAGTTTAGTTAAAAAAAATCAAACCAAAAAAAAATCAATCAAAATTTATATCAAATAGAATATTAGGTAGTCGACAATGTGCACGCCAAACATTTACTCCTCTTCTTCTTCTTTCTTTTCAGGACTTTCTAAGGGCTTGGACGCTGAAGGTGGCTTTTGTGTTGGATGCTGGATTCTCCCAATATGTAATGCAAGTAGGTAAGTTATGTTTATAGTATTAGCGTATAATTATATTCCGAATTATTATATATTAAATTTTCTTTTTTTATTATTCTTTATTATAGCCTAAGGACAAACAAAGGAAGTGGTCGCCTATAAAAACCAACGACAAACGCTAGGACAACAACGGAGGATGGTCACCTAACCCAGAGTTGAGCTCAATTCGGAGTCCTAACCACCTGCACCTCAACGACAAGGTAAGTACAATTTAATATTATTTCACCTTTGTTTACCCTTTTTTATCCTTTTAATGCTTCTTCTTTCTTTGCATGGAAACAAAATCAACCCGGAATTTAACTATCTGCTGGTCGTCCGTCTGTCTGTCCGGAGTTTCAGTGTCTTAGGTCTATTGGGTGAATATACCAGCGCATGCCGGATTGGCTATGCGTTAAATCAGCGCCTCCCTCGTTGGACTTGGACGGCGCAGTGTGTGACTCCCTTTGGATTTATGTAGATTTAGTTGTCGTAGTGATACTTCGTTTTATTTCAAATACTTGCATCTATTTGTTTGTTCAATATTTTTAAGTTTTGTATGTTTTTCTTTTTGTATTTAAAAAAAATGCATAGATGTTTTTTTTCTTCCTTTTTTTTATATATATATAAGTATCGATCAATAAAAATGTCGATTTTCAAATTTAAATTTGACTTCTTGCTGTTCGGGGAGATCACACGTCCAGTCTTCTTCGCAGGTGTATTTAAAAAGGACAGTTTTCCTATCATTTTTTTTCCAGGAAATTTCTCCTACCCTCTTATTAATTTTCTTTTATCCCCCTTTATGACGTTTGCCAACTGTTATACACAACAGCAGTTTTGTGCGTGCTATCAATTTTTCTTCTTCTTCTTCTTCTTTTAAATTTAACCCTACAAGGCGCACACCACAAACCCCACTATCCTGCCGATATCCTTATCAAAGGATAGGAGGGAAAAATGTGCGACATTAAGTGATAAAAATCTATGTAAAAATATGTATTTGTTTGGGCACTACACAAAAAAAAATAAAATAAACGTTTGGCATACCTACAAATTCTAATTTGGCATCCCTAAAGCCAATTTCCCCGTTTTCCGGGGAGAATATTCGGCTAAACTATCATGAAACATTTACCCTGTCGTAAACTAGTGTAACCTATATTAGTTACCACTCGTGTAAACATTGTATAAGAAATACGCCCAACGTTACGCTTTACTATTTAGGCGGACTGAAAAAATATGACAATGAATGGAACGCTTTTGATTGAGGGTTGGTATGTATTGCAAAAGAATAAAGAGTGAAGCTTGGCGGACGGACTTTTCGGTGTTGCAGAAAATAAAAAAAAAATCGGGTAAGTAGAGTGAAAAATAAGTGAAATGTTTAAAGTTAAAAATTAGATATAGTGAATAATAAAAAAAAAGTGGCATCCGGATTTTCAAATAAATTAATTGTGTTGTGTGAAAAAGTGATACAAAAAGGTAAAGAAAATGTGAATGAAAAAGTATCAATGGAAAGCATCTAGTGTTGTTGTGTGTGTGAGTGAATGGCCCTTGTAAAATAAATCCTTACCAAAAAAAGTAATATATGAAAATACTCTAAAGAAAAAAATCAATTGTGAATAATGGCCAAATCAATATGCAGAAAAAAATAATAAAAATTAAAAAATATATATATATAATAATAAAAATAATAATTAATCTAACCTAAAATAAATTTTCGATTCCTATGTGTGTGTGTGTAACAAGTGGTTGTACAAATTATGCATATTCACTCATAAAATGCACTCATGAATCAAAATGAAACAACGTGATTTTGGCGGAAATATAATTAAGTTCGAAAAGATGCCACAATGAATTCGACGTATAAGGCAAAGAAAGAAAGAAAAAAAAAAATATTCCGCCAAAGAGAAAAGAAAATAAGTATAAAGAAAGAAGAATCCAATTGGAATAGAAAGATAATATCAAAACAAAATCAAAATTATGAGAGAAAAATAAATATTCATAATTAGAAATTGAAGTTGAAGAAAAAAAAACCAAAATAAATAGAAATAAAAAAAATTTTATATCAAAGAAAGTGTTAAAAGGTGGCTTTATGATAAAATAAAAGAAATAAATATATAAAGCGAGTGTATGCTACCATTCGTGAGAAGTACAACAAAAGTATCGCCAAATAATCAATCAAACCAATGCTTCACCAATAAATAAAAATACAACAAATCCTTGCTTCATTCCAAATAAAAGAAAAATCGCTATAATGATCTTCGAAAGTGGTTAAAAGGTGGAATGATAAAGTTGCAAGGATAGTGATATGTGTTAAATGCTTCCACGATACAAAGAAAAATATATATTCTATGAAAATATATCTTACAACACACAAAACCCTAAGTTAGGAAGATTTGGTGTGTTAGCATTAGTGTGTTCTGTTTTCAAGCTTTCCAGCAGTGGTTTTAGCAGATTCCAGAATAAGAATGATTGAAGTGATTTTGCAACCATATTCCATCTGGATAAAACCAAAAATTTCTTCTAATGACAAAGTTTAGGTATTTGGATCTAGATATTAAAGGTTTCTCATAACATACTACGAGGCTTAGTGTCTAACCTCAGATATTGGACATAAAATCCGATTGTAAACCAATAAAAATAAAAATAGTGATGTGTTATAAAATCAAATTATTACTTTTAAACAAAAACCAAAACGAATTTCGAAAAGGATGACGGGGTTTTGAAGGCGTGGCGCATGCTGCTGCCCAGAAATGTGTGGTAAAGGCATATTGCGGAAGATCGGTTTTGCTTAAAGACCAGCTCTGCTTCCACCCGAAATGGATAAGGTAAGATTTTGTTTTTAATGTGTATTCATATTCCTTTTTTTCCATTTGGCCTATTGTGAACTTGCGCCCCTGTAAATAAGAATTATTCACAATCTGAATAATAAATTACCATGAAACCTCACGTTTTTAACTTAATAAAAACTCTGAACTACCACTCCTGCATTTACCTACGATTAACCTGGAAATCAATCTACATTCTGCCTCTCATGCTTCCTCGTTACCAACGAACAATATTCGTTTTTAGATTCGACATACTTCTTTTACTCACTTTATAAGTGTACCATCTACTCGCATCACAGCTCTCGTCAAAACGTCAGATACGTTGGTATTTCAGATGCGCCTAGGTGTATTTGAACTTGTTCTCCCGTTTTCCAGACTCTAGTGTCATAAGACGAATGAGGGACGGATCTGCGACCACGTGTACAACAGTTCCTCCGCCCGTGTCACTAGTTACAAACGGCACCATTTATATTGGTAAAAGAGGTTCTGCACTAAAGGTCAAAGACATGTCACAACGTGGCGGCTCCTGAAGCGCAAAATTCTATACTATTTAAATAATAAGCCTTTCTCTAGAGTCGGCAAATCCGGGATGCTTTCTGCGTACTCTGATTCTCGTATTTTGTCGTCTGCTGCTGATACCAGAAGATTGGCCACTTATACTGTGAGAAAAAGTTAATGAGCTGTACATGTCTTCCATTACGCATCA